ATAGAAATAATTATCGGATGTTAATGAAACTTTCAGGAACTATTCACAGATGATCGAAATTATTATAAATATGTTTTTTTTATGAAAGTCATGGTAGAAATATTTTTAAAAAATATTTATTACCCCCCATAACTAATTTTATGAAAACGCTAGAAATTGATCGCATCGATTTTAGTGATTACAATAATTAAAAAGCACAGGGCTTTGAGGAATGCAAATCATTTTTTTTTTTTTTAATTGGATACGCAGTACCTGAAAATCAGCTCTGAATTGTAACATACAAAACTCAATAAAACAAAGATATTATTTAATTTCAAATGCTTTTATTTGCTTTTTAGTTGTTTTTATGAATATGGACAATATTTTCTGAAAGCAAAAAAAAATTTTTCAATGAAAAATGAATTTTAATACAATTATTTGTTATTTCATTAATTATAATAGATTTTACATTTAAGTTGTTAAAATATTATAAAATTAATTAAAAGCCACATCGGCTTTCATAAGTGTCCTTATGAGATAGATCTTTTTTAGCGCGTTGTAAATTGTATCATTTTGACTAATCAGAAGATCCCCAGTAATTAAGAAATGTAATTTTGTGCTTATAATCGAGCTGTAATTATAAAATACGGAAGACCAACCAGAATATAATTAAGTTGCGTTATTTGAGTTAAGCATTGTTCTCCGCTGTTAAGGCCTTTACTTTTTTAAACACGTGTGGAGAAGTTAATTTGATTTTTCAATTTCAACTGAGAAGGTTACCTACAAGTATCAGTATCATCTTATGAAATTTATATAATCTTATTTTTATATTAATCTCAGTTACGACATTTTTCCATAAATGAAATATCAAAATTAATAATAAAATGAATGCAAATACAAATAACAGTAGAATGTAATAAATGTACATAAAATTATAGTATTTTATGTACAATTCTGATAAAATTTCATAAGAAAGGTACCTATAAATTAATTAGATACCTTTCTTAAGAAATATGAAATTTAATGTCACTCTTAACAGTTTTATTTTAATTTCTTTACAATATATTTCCCATAAAGCATCATAAACGTAAAGGTGAAAGCTAAGTACAAAAAAAAAAAAAAAAAAATTAGACCGCTGAAAGTTTTCGTTAAAAATAACGAGGTAAATAATTTGTTCACGTAAATGTAAATTATTTCATTTTTCTCCTTCCGTAGAACAAATTAGCCTCATGGAATTCGTAAATATATCATTCATCACATGTCAAGAGACGCGAAAGTTTATGACCTGCTTTGTTTTATTTTCAAATTACATCTTTTTGGCACAAAAAAGCTAAGTTAAGTTTGGTTCAAAATATTTTAAATAAACATTATAATTTCTGATTTTCTTAAAATAAGTTTTGAAAAAATGATAATTGATATTTTTAAAAAATTTCAAAGTCAGATTTCCATTTTTTTTTTTTAAAATGGAAAAAATTTTGCAATTTTGCTGACTCAAAAAAAATAGATTTTTAATCTAAAATTTCGGACGTGCTAGGAACGATTAAAAAATGGAAAAAAAATACCCCAAAAATACTTTGGCCTTTCCTCTTAATAATAACAAACATTTAGACGATAAAATTTTGTTTTCGTCAAGTTTGGCGTCTTTTTCATCATGCTATGCTCTTTTTTTAGCGATCTCGTGGAGGTACCTATTCTAACTAGTATCCTCATCTTGGTTGTTATAATCACAATACTTCTTCTGCCTAAGTTAAACTAAGAATTTCAAACTGAACATTTTATTAATTTGAATGATTAAATTTAAAATAGATTAATGTAGAAAAATGATAATTTTTCATCTCAGAAATTCAGACAGCCATTATATTGTTATTGTCACTAACATTTTTTTTTTTTTTTTTACTAAATTCAGCTTTTAGCTAGAACCCCAAAGTATATTATTGCATTTAATTTTACAGGTTCTGACCAATTTTCTATCAAAATTGATACACAATATATCATTCACTTTCTGTAATTGATTGTAATAAAATTAAAAACCAGCCAAAAAAAGCTTTTTTTTTTTTTTTTTTTGTTTCACACTTTTAAATTTTTTGTCTTATCATTAACAAATGGTCTTATCCTGGGTATGACGATAAACTACATCCGCGTCCAACAGCAAGACCTCTGATAATGTTTTTGAAAAAATAATGTTGCCAGCTGTATGTTTTCGAAAGAAAGAAAAAAAAAAAATATTACCAACTATACGTTTTTGGAAAAAAAAAAAAAAAAAAATATTACCAGCTATGTTTTTGGAAAAATAATATTACCAGCTATACTTTTTTTTTTTTTTTTTTTTTTTTTACCGGGTCAATATTAACAGAAATGGATTTTTGACAAAACAAAAATATTACCAGGAAAAAAGAAAAAAAAATTGTCAGCATTAAATGATCCATTGAGGTTGATATGCTGTAAAACAAGACAAACAAATAAAAAGTCTTAGATTACTTGTTATTGATTTCATATATTTTAATGAATGTAAATTTTCGCAAATTAAAAAACAAAAAAAGAAACTTGATGTCAAAAGCACAAATGAGAGCCTTTGTCATTGGCACTTAGCACTTTGGCTATGAAATATATTGACTGTCTTAGTTGGTGTTAAAGCCAAATTCATGTTCAGAATTTTCAATGCTGAATTCTAAATTTTGCAGGCTCTTCTTTCTCCCCACTTGAAATATTGGTGCAAAAGAATTAGTTCTATTTCCTCTATTTTATGTTACTTCTGTAACTAAAATTACATCACCACTAAAATGTAAATGGAACAATGAAAGTAATGTTAGTAATTGTTATTTTGTTACCAATTCATATATTGTTTTCCCTTTCAACAAATGTTAAAATCCATTCATAAAGATGACCTACCAATCAAAGTAGTTCTGTTATCTATAAATTTAAGTGTCAGTACAAGGCTGATTACATTGGTAGGACCACCCAATTATTTGACAAAAGAATTTCTCTGCATGTGCCAGCATGTATTTGAAGAGGTCAGCTTCAAAATTTGCATAAATGTTCCAGTACATAATTCTGTAATCTCTGAATGTATTATTAACTATCATCAATGTGTTTTTGCTTGCAAGTTTTTCTTTTGCATTTTGAACAATTCACTTTCAGATTTTTATCTGAAAATTTTTGGAGACCTTTTTTATAAAATCTATGCAACCTTCTTTGTGTAAACTAAAAGAATGGTTGGTCTTAATGTAATCAGCTTATAATATAGATATGCCTATTTTGGTATATTATTGTGAATTTTTTTTTTTTTTTTTTTATAGAAATTTTTTTTTTTTTTTTTTTTTTTTTTTTTTTTTTTACTTATAGTGCATACCTATCTTATTTCCTCAATCAAGCTCTGAAGAGAGGAATGAGAACCAGTCATTTTTTTTATTTTTTTCTATATATATATATATATATATATATAAATTAGGTGGTCAGTTGATACTGCTACCTTGGTTTCAACCTTACAGTATCTTCAGGCGATTTTGATCAATTGACTTCTCAATGCACAATAAACTGATCTCCTAATTTTAAAGTTAAAAACTCTAAATGTCTTTTTTATTTTTCCACACGTGTATTGAACACTTTTTAATACTACTGTTTCCTGATTTAATTCAACTCTTATCTCATCACAAAAGCAATAGTAGCACAATACAGTATATAAGGTAATAGCTAGTAGCGAAAAAACAGATCTACTCAGTGAACTAATTTTAAATGTAACACCCACCAACTGTGTGTGTGTGTGTGTGTGTGTGTATATATATATATATATAATCTCAAGTATGTGGTGCAGTTCAATTTACATTACATGAATCATTTATATAGAAGTTAATGATATAAATGGCGAGAATACATCTTCACAAACAAATTTAATTTACATCTTATTACCGAGAAGTAAAAAAACAAATCTATTCCCATACCTGGTGATGTCTGTATGAACAGATGAAAGCTTGTAAAAAAAAAAAAAAAAAAAAAAAACAGACCTCATGCAACTGGAATTTATAAACAGGGATCATAACATTCATCTTTAAATTTGTTTGCGAAGATATATTCTCGCCATTTATATCATTAACTTCTATATCTGATTTTTGTATAAATGATTCATGTAATATATATATATATATATAAAACAAACAAATGTTTTCCTGTCTCTGGTTGTCAGATTTGATAAGTTAATTTATTGCCCCTCTTATTCTCAAAAAATCTCAACATTTTTCCCTTGCACAGTTTTGTCTTTTATTCTGGCCTGAAGATGCTGAACCCAACACACATCATTTTTAGAAGCTTTTCCACTTTGTCTTGTCTTCTATTTCAGATACTATTATACTTCCTACAAACAGGCATGTACACACTTACACACAAAGACAGTAGATAGTGATTGACATGGCATTTAAATTTTTGCAGATTAAAGTTGGCTGGAAAGCATGTAAACAGAAATGTGTTCCACAATCGAGAAGTGTGAGAAAAGAAAATGTTAGCATAGAACCTATGGCTACATCTAGCTAGCTCAACTGTAAATTGATGAAATCTTGACACCAGTCGAGTATTGTGCTTAAAAAAAAAAAAAAAAAGTCCAAGTACCATAGCAAAGTGCCCATCTGAATGATTACCATGAAAGTATTTATTAAAAAAAAAAAGGCACAGGGAGGCAACCTTATGGCGATATAATAATTTTTTTTTCTCTCTCTTTCATATTCCATATTGCTATTTATGGTAATTGTATCCTGTCCACCCCCATTCATTTTTCCTCTCATTTTAATGAATATGTCTTTTTTTATGGCATTAATGATATTATGAAGTTCTTTTATTTTTTTTTTTTTTTTTTTTTGTTTTACATGTTATACTGTATCTGTTTGTCACGATCTGAATTATTAGCTGCAGCAAACCTGTGCATTTTCTTCTGGAATTGTTCTTTTCTAGCTTTAAATTAGTTGCTAACTTTTAATTTATGCAAATATATTTTAGCTGCTATTAAAATGTTTTTTTTTGGTTTGTTTTTCCAGATGTGCCTTTGCAAACACACCTAAATATGCCCAAGTGAAAGGAAAAGGCAAAATAGTGACAAAACATTGGATCACTGATTGCTACAAACAGAAAACATTGTTACATTGGAAAAGGTTAGTTTTACTTCCCTTAACCCTCTGACCCATGAGACCTAATCTCTTACCAATGCACCATCCCTGGACATCTTGGGTAATTTCACTAGTTCAGAATTGCCTTTGTAATAAAACAAATCAGCAGTGGAAAATGACCAGTACAAAATTGTTCATATGTTACTGGTATTCACTTTCAATTTTTCTCTTGCTCTCTCAGTCAAATAGTTGATTTCCCTATTTCCTTAATTTTGATCTACATGCTTCTTAATTCGTTTCTTACCTCCTCTTCTAGCTCTTGTAGAGCATCACAACTCTGTCCTCTTGGCAATTTAGATCATGCTATAGTATCTGTTGATATTTCTTTTGAGTCATCTATTAGACAGGAATCTCTTATTCACACAACTTCTTTTTGTTACCAGCATTCTTATTTGGATTCATTTTGTGACTTTCTTGAAGACATTCCTTGGATTGATATTCTTAACCTTCCTTTTGAGAATTGTGCCACATACGTTTCTTCTTAGGTTAAAGCCAGCATTAATACTTTTGTACCTTCTTGGAAATACCAAGTGAAACCACTATTTTCTTGATTCACACCAGTCTGTTCAGCTGCTATACCACACAGGTATCGCTTTTTCCGGCTGTACCAGTGTGATAGCTCTGATCACAACAGGCACCTCTTTGTGTCTGCACATAATAATTGTAAATGTGTGCTCAATGAGGCTCTGTCTTTGTTTGATGACAGAATGAGGCATTGCAACAAGTTTGGTTCTCATGACTACTGGCAGCTGTGTAATATTGTGTTAAACAGAATAAGTCTTCTATCCTGCCTCTCTTTACTCAATTTAAGGTGTTAACATCTGATAAAGCAGAATGTTTTGCTTGTAAATTCTCTTCAAAGTTTACTCTTGACTCCTGGATTGACTTTGCCTGACTTTACACTTAGAACTTTTGCGTGATGTACATATAACTCCACCCATGGTTTCTGCTATTGTCACTAAACTGGATCCTCTCAATGCATGGGGACTTGATGGTATCCCTGCAATAGTCCTTAAGAAATATGCCCCTGAACTGGCTTCAGTCCTCTTTAAATTCTACAATAAATGTCTTGTTTCTTCTTGCTTTCCTATTTGTTGGAAATCCTCTTCTGTAGTTTGTTTTTAAGACCTCAGGCAAACCATCTGATCCTTCTGTTGGCATATAGGCTTGCTTCTGCCTCTCTTCAGCAAAGTACTAGAAGCTCTAATCAACTCCGAATTGGTTAAGCATCTTACATTGCAGGATCTTCTTTTAGATAAACAATATAGCTTTTGTTTCTCTATGTCAGCTGCTGATGTCTTAATGATTGTTGCTGTCTATCAAGTTTTAGACGCATCCTGGGTAAGACGATAAAGTACATCCAACAGCAAGGCCTCTGATCGGGAGGTTTTGAGGAGTGTAGAACCACCTCTTAATTGCTGGTGTTCCCAGGTCCACCCTGACCCGGGATGGTAGCACCTGTTAGGGTCCCAGCTATGGGCAAATAGTTAACACCCAGACTACATCTGCGTTCTGGATATGATGATAATCTACGTCCAACAGCAAGGCCTCTGATCGTACGTTTTTGAAAAAGTAATATTGCCAGCTGTACGTTTTTGAAAAAATATTACCAGCTATACGTTTTTTTTTTTTTTTTGTTTTTTGTTTTGAAAGAAAAGTATTGCCGGCTATGAAAAAATATTACCAGCTATACATTGTTTGAAAAACTTATATTACTAACTATACATTTTATGAAAAAATATTAACAGCTATACATTTTTGAGTAAAAAAAATATTAACAGAAATAGATTTTTGACAAAACAAAAGTATTACCAGGAAAAAAAAAAAGAAAAAAGTTGTTGGCATTTAATGACCTATTGAGGTTGGTGTGCTGTAAAGCAAAACAAACCAAACCAAGTTTTAGACAAGAATAGTGAAGCTTGGACAATTGATTTGGATATCTCTAAAGTATTTGACAGGGTTTGACATGCTGGGCTTCTTCACAAGTTGAAAAGTTATGATATTTCTTATGAAATCATGAAATAAGATGTCTTGAACAGCCACTTTTCTAGATCTTTTTTCATTAATGCAGGCATCTCTCAGGACTGTCTCCTTGGACCTACGTTGTTTCTAATTTTCATCAACAATCTTCCTGATATGATCAGTTCTCAATTCTATATCTATGCTGATGATACAACTATTTGTACATGTCTCAACAATAAACCTGATTAGTTTGAATATGGTAGCTGATCTCAAAAATTACCTAGAATCTGTTGTTAAGTGGGACAAGGAATGGCTTGGTAATTTTAACATTTCCAAAATGAAGCTGCTCTCTTTTAATTACCTGAGAGAACCCCTTTTGCCTTCCATCAGCATGGCTGGTACTAACTTTTAGGAATCTCTCATGATGCCTACTCTGGCTACTGTTTTCTGCTGACATGAAGTGGAAAGATTATATTGAATGATTTGCTAGGTCTGCCACTAGGAAAGTTGGTTCGCTGTGTCACATTGGACATTTATAAGAATCCATCTTGGACATTTATAAGAATCCATCTTGGACATTTATAAGAATCCATCTTGGACATTTATAAGAATCCATCTTGGACATTTATAAGAATCCATCTTGGACATTTATAAGAATCCATCTTGGACATTTATAAGAATCCATCTTGGACATTTATAAGAATCCATCTTGGACATTTATAAGAATCCATCTAAGAATCCATCTTGGACATTTATAAGAATCCATCTTGGACATTTATAAGAATCCATGGACATCTATAAGAATCCATCTTGGACATTTATAAGAATCCATCTTGGACATTTATAAGAATCCATCTTGGACATTTATAAGAATCCATCTTGGACATTTATAAGAATCCATCTTGGACATTTATAAGAATCCATCTTGGACATTTATAAGAATCCATCTTGGACATTTATAAGAATCCATCTTGGACATTTATAAGAATCCATCTTGGACATTTATAAGAATCCATCTTGGACATTTATAAGAATCCATCTTGGACATTTAATATTGCTGCCAAATCTGATCTGGTGCTTCTGCTATGTATTTAGAGATTCTTGATAAAATCCAAAGAAGAATTTGCAATGAAATGACCTGGCATCCAATTTTCTGTCCTTTTCCCACCACTCTAATATAGCTTCCCAGTGCTTTTTTTTTTTTTTTATAAATACATTCATGGTAATTGTTCCAATGAACTTTCCTTTATGGTATCTAGATTATATAAATTTAAGTCCTGTACTAGATTGGCAGCAATGTCACATTTTACAGTTGAAATGTTAAGATGCAACTGTAAATTCTGTGCTAAGAGTTTCTTCTCTTGCACTTCTCACGTGTGGAATTCTCTTCCAACTTATTGCTTTCCAATCAAATTTGATCTTCAAAAATTTAAATGCAATATCAATCATTATCTTTTGTCCTGTTCTTTTATTTTTCCCTCTACTTGATAATATATTTTTTCTTATTCTCTCATACTTAGTAAATCCCTCGTGTCTTAGTAGCTTTATTTCCTTACTTGGGATGAAATGAATTAAAAATATGAACAGCTTTTTCTTGCATGTTAAACTGTGTAATTGCTTTTGATATACCAGTCTTGCCAGTACAGGGTGCAATGGATAAATTCTCGCCATTTTATATTTTTCATTTCACACATGCATATTGCTTGTTTTTGATTCTGCTGATTGCACAGTATAGTAGGGTCAGTTGGGCACCATCTGTCAGAAAAAGAGCAACATGATGCAATTCATTCTGCCAGAAATTTTCTTTTAAATGCCAAAAATGTACTGCTTAGCATTCATGCCAAAAATTCCAATACAAAAATTTCAGTGTGTTTAGGTGTCAATCTGAGGACAGTGCAAAGGATTCAGAAAGAGTTGGATAAGTCTAATGGTGATTACAAAGGTATGACAACTCGGAAATCTCGCTTTGATCTTTTCTGCCTAGAAAAGAACTCCCTAATTTGTTGATGAGGGCCTCAAACTCAACACTGAGGCCTATATCAAGTGACTGGAGGAGGTAGTGCTGCCCTGGGTCAAGAGGGTGGTCGCTGGAAGACCCTATGTCTTGCAACAGGAATCTGCCCCATTCCACGTAAGCAGAAGAAAAGTCATGGCTGTCAGACAATGTCTGCGACCACATCACCCCTTACATCTGGCAACCCATCTCCTCAGTCTGCCTGGAAATTCGTTTTGTAAAAAAAAGTTAATTGCTGCTCCTCGAAAACAAGTATAGCCAATGAAAGCTTTTTTAAGGAAGCTTAAAAAAAAGTTTTCCTACAGTGTTCTCCAAGGGTCTTGGAAAATGGAACTAATTAACAAAAATCTTGACAGATTAGAAACTCTAGGGGTTATTTTGCCCACAGATTATTGTGTGGGTAGCTCCAACAGTGTCTGTAGAAAAGAAAAATAATGTCTTTAAATATTTTTGGCTTTTAAAAGAAACAAATAACCATCTCCGCCACCACAGTAAAATGAAAATTTTTTTAAAAACGAGAACTTGTAGGATATTAAATGACCGAGGTCCTCTATGCCTACATGAAAAGTTATTATGTTTCTTAAAAATAAAGATTTATTAAATCAACAAAACAAACTGCTTTTTGTAGCCATTGTATTGTTTTTACATTAAAACATAATTAATAGGATTTTTATTAAAAAATCTATACTTTAAAATTTATATATTTATTATTTGAATACATATAATGATAAAGAAAATGTGAAATTTATGCCTTAATTTTTAGTTTTAACATTGCCATGTCTAATGTACCATTAAATATAAGTATTGCATTTTAGATCATTATCATTAAATATATATAAAAATAATTTAATCATACTAGATGCCCCTTTAAGACAGTCTTAAAGTATAAAAAAATCAGAAAACTGGGACCATTTATTCAATCAGTGCTGAAAATTAAATATTTTTACTTTGTATAAATTTGAAAAAAAAAAAAAAAATTAAAGGAATTCTGAATAATGTACTTTTAGTTTATCAATATTTGATCATCAATCAAGATTCTGAGGTTGATACTTTCCTATTTATTCATATCATTTACATGGTCTTGTGTTTGATAAATTTTCTTCCACTCTGCATCTGCAGGAAATAGTCTGCAATGTTACAAGCCTATTGCTATTTTGCCACTGAAAATGGTAAAACACTGGATTTTTTTTTAATTTTTAGTAAGAATATCTATATACAAAGCAGAAACACTAGACCAAATGAGGCAACAGTATTCTAAAAAGAAATATGGCTCCTATCAACTTCTAAGGGATGTTCATCTAATATTTGATGTTTTTGTTGACCTTGTTGTCTTGTGCAGGTACCGATTAGTTGATAATGAATCAGGTAAAGATTCTGAAGACGACAAAACAGTCGAAAGTTCACAGGATTTGCATAAGACTGACTCACAGAAGAAAGAAACAGATCCAGATTTTATGCCCGTAAAACAAGGTATGATCAATCATTGACTTCTCTGTAATTATTTTAACTATGCCCAAGGGAGGTGGGTGCTGAAAAGTGTTTCACCCATCTCACTTCCCAAAATCAGATTTCTGATATTTGCTCAGTGAAATACTGATTTTGGAAAGTTGGTTTGGGCAATAATTTTTAAGCACCCCCTTGTATAATAAATTATTGTATTAATTAATTAATTAAACTATGTAATTACTATTCTTTATAGAATGTTGAGTAAAAAGTTAATGTATTATTTCAGGTTACAAAAAAATAGTAAATTATTTAACAAATCATTTTCACTACTAAATTATGTATGCAATGTACATAATCAATATCTCATATTTATCTCTTTCTCTGTTCATATATATCTCTTGGTTTGATTGCATATATACTTTGTGTACTTCTGTATGGATTTATGTATGTACATCTTAGAGCAGACCAATAAGTCTGTAGCCTGACAGTTATCAGCTAAATTTTGATCTGAAATTTTCATTGCATAATGTTTGATATATGTAATCCACCAATTTCTAAGTTTCTATGATGAGGAGTTACATTAAAAATGATCTCATTATGTCTTGCCATTGCCTTCAAGTGTTTGTCAATTTAAACTTTTTAAGTGGGCCAGGGATTGAACTTGGAATTACTATGATACCAAATTCATGAACCAACATGCAACCTTAAACAAAACATTCTTTGACAGACACTTGAAGAAAAGACAAAATGTTTTGATAATAGCAACAAAAAAGAGGATATTAGTTTGAATATAAATAATGTAAATAATCGGCATTTGAATTAAGTGCACTGACAAGGAAGAACATTTTGTTGAAAAATATTTTGTGTAAAACAAAAAAAAAAGCCTTTTTATCATTATGCTGTGAATTTATTGGTGTGCCAATATACAGGGTGAGATGGATAAATTATCGTCTAAATTATGCAAAAAAAAAAAAAAACACTGACATCTGATTTTAATAGAATATATTTACCAAAATTACACAAAAATATCAGTTGTATTAAAAAGTTTTCAATACACATATAAAGATAAAAAAAAAATTTAATGTTCAGAGCTTTTAAATTTCAAAAATTAGGAGATTGGCCAATCACACTACCATGATTTCAACCTTTAGGTATCCTCAGGTAATATAGGCTAAATGATCATGGTAGTGTGATTGACCAATCTCCTAATTTTTGAAATGTATATAATGTGTGCACTGCTGAAAACACACAGAGCTAATAGTAATAATGTATCCCTTTGACTATCTTGGTTAGTGTGTGTGTGTGTGTGTGTGTGTGTGTATATATATATATATATATATATATATATATATATATATATCCATCGGATTGGTTTAGACAAAATAAATTCCAATAACCAAAAAATACTATTCTTAAGAGTGCTCAATACAGAGTAGAGCAAATATTATTTATTCAAAAATTATAACATGTTTGTTATAATTTTTGAATATATATAAACCTGTTTTTTGAAAAGCTGTTTTAAGAGAATTTTTAATTTTATAAATTTTATCTGCAGTACAAGCTGCTTGGTCAATGAATGCTAAATGTTTCCTTGTAGGGAAATAGCTAATATTACCATAATGAGAAAGAAATATGATATATAACCTGTATATATCACACTTCTGGTCGGTCTTTCTAATAGTCTTTTGGGTGCACAAAATGCATTACATAGACTTTTTTTTTTTTTTTTTTTTTTTTTTTTACATTTATCATTCCATTACCTACCACACACGTGTGTGTAATAAATTTTTATATATATATATATATAAGTGAACATAGAAGTCAACACTTAGAGGCGACAGTCTGTTTAATGCTATATGCAATCGTCAGGCCACATATGCTGTTATTTTTCTTGGCTATTTATATATTTATATATATATATATATATATATATATATATATAGGTTAGTGGTGCATTGTGGGTATTCTATTATGGCGGTTATTTTACCGGAAGTCGTTCGTTTATTTATTTTGGTCAAATTATATTGCTCGTTTTTATTTTATTTATTTATTAACGATTGCATATAGCATGAAACAGACTGTCGCCTCTAAGTGTTGACTTCTATGTTCACTTTTATATTTACACACACTCTATCTCTGATATTGAGCACTTTATTCCATAAATATAGCACACCTTAAGACTGAATTTCTTTATATTCAGCTCCTGGTAAACAGTAGAGCACTTTTGCTACATTTATAACACAGTATGGACATGGAAAAATTTAACCTCTACTACTCCCTAAAAAACATACACATCCCATCCCCTACTATATATAAACTAAAATTAATTGATAAAATAGAAAGTTTCCTAAAAAGAATGAGATGGAAAGTCTACTTTTTAAACCAGGACCTTCACAATAACAACACACTTAAGAAGGAAAAATACGGCTTCAAAACAAAAAAATGCTCCCCACAACAAAAAGAATTAGACAATTTTGAGAAAGACTTAACTGACCTAGTTAGAAACATAAAATTCCATAAAAAGCAAGATGCATTCCAAAAAAAACTAAAAGCAGATATAACTAAAATAAACAATTCAGCAAGTGTATTTATCGCTGCTGACAAAACGAGAAATTTATACAAACTAAGCCCTCCTACACACAATAAATTACTCAAGAACAACATAACCAAAACATACAAAAAGGCACTCCAAACAACAGAACACGATATCAATAAGGAAGCTAAAACAATCGCCCAAAAATTAGACCTAGATGACCGAATAAATTGTATTAGCAAGGCACAAGCCTTTATCACGCTAAAAGACCATAAAGAAAATTTCAAAACTAATCCTGCATGTAGACTCATAAACCCAGCCAAAAGCGAACTAGGTAAAATAAGTAAAACAATACTAGAAAGAATTAATTCTGAACTTAGGAAGAAATTAAGAGTAAACCAGTGGAAAAATACAAAAACAACTATTGACTGGTTCCACAACAAATAACAAACAAAATTGCAAATTCCTACAATTAGACATAAAAGAATTTTACCCATCCATAACAGAACGTATGCTAGATAAGGCCAGCAACTTAGCTCAGGAACAAATAATAATAAAACCAAGTGAAATCAACATCATTAAGCACTCCCGTAAACCATTATTATTCCACAATGAAGAAGCATGGATAAAGAAAGATGGGATATTTGACACTACAATGGGAAGCTTTGATGGTGCAGAGGCATGCGAAATCATAGGCATTTACTTACTACACGAACTGAGCAAAATAATAGATAAAAACTACACAGGACTCTACAGGGACGACGGTCTCATAATCTTAAGAAACTGTAACAAACAAAACACAGACAAAACTAGAAAAGCAATAATAAAGATTTTTAAAAATAACAGATTCGACATAGATATAAAAACTAACCTAAACGAAGTAGATTTCCTAGATGTTACCTTCAACCTAAGAGAAGGCACATATAAACCATACAGAAAACCTAATGATAAACCACTCTACATACACACATCTTCCAACCATCCGCCTTCTATAATCAAACAGATACCAAAATCGATTAACCGCAGGCTCTCCGACAATTCCTCCAATGAATCCCTATTTAACAAGCTAAGAAAGACTATGAAACGGCCCTAAAAGATAGCGGATTCCCAGCAATACTCACATACTCACCACAGAATACAAAAAAGGCCAACAGAAGAAATATATGGTTCAACCCACCGTACAGCAAGAACGTAAAAACAAACGTAGGAAAAATATTCTTCAAACTCTTACACAAACACTTCCCAGAATCAAGCACCTTACACAAAATATTCAACAAAAACACAGTAAAAATCAGCTACAGCTGCACCGAGAGCATGGCACAAATAATAAAAAAGCACAATAGGAAAATTATCAACAAACCACATGAACAAATTAAACCCACGTGCAACTGCAGAATAAAGAACGAATGTCCCTTAAACGGAAATTGTTTACAAAACAACGTAATATACCAAGCCACGATAAAATCACCAGTTAATGAAGAAAAAGTATACATAGGAGTAACTGAAGGACCTTGGAAGCAAAGAAATTATACACACAAAACATCATTCACAAATAGTAAATATGCGAACAGTACACTGCTTTCTAAGTATATCTGGGAAATTAGAAACAAAACGCACATCACACCAAAAATATCTTGGAAGATAAGGAAAAAGTCATCAGTCTACAACAACCAATCAAAAACATGCAAACTTTGCTTGGAGGAAAAAATAGCTATCATTACTTTCCCCGACCAAAATAAATTATTAAATAAAAGATCCGAGCTCATCTCAAAATGCAGGCATGAAAATAAATTTTTACTACGTAACCTAAAAAATGAAAAACAGAAAAAATAAAACAAAAACAAATAAATACACTAATAATAAAAAATAGAAATAAATAAATACTATGATGCTTAAAACCAAAAACTGAAAAGAGAAACTATACAAGTAAAATAAATTGACCTAAATTCATCCAAGTAAATAAATAGACAAACCAATCCCAAATTAAAAACTGTTCCCGCCAAAATAAGAGTTAGAATGAACTACCACAACCAACCCCAAAATTGAACAAATAGCTTTAATTAAATTCTCAAACCAAAACAAAACTGTTAAATAAGTGATATAAACAAATTTTTACTACATTAATAAATAAATGAATAAATAAATAAAATAAGAAATAAAAACGAGCAATATAATTTGACCCAAATAAATAAACGACTTCCGGTAAAATAACCGCCATAATAGAATACCCACAATGCACCACTAACCCATATATATATAAATAGCCGAGAAAAATAACGGCATATGTGGCCTGACGATTGCATATAGCATAAACAGACTGTCGCCTCTAAGTGTTGACTTCTATGTTCACTTTTATATTTACACACGCTCTATCTCTGATATTGAGCACTTTATTCCATAAATATAGCACACCTTAAGACTATATTTCTTTATATATATATATCTCAAATATTTCTACAAAGTTTAGGGTTGGTTTCTTGCACCAAAACAT